TTCAGCTCACATGCACCTACCTCACTGTAAGGCAGTGAAATCCATTTTTTTAAATTTTCTATGAAGATGTAATTGTGCATATTTGTTGATTGACAGATGGCCAGTGCCGGCTTGGTGCTGAATTTCAACAGCTGCGACAGCGTTAAAAACACTCCTGAGTTCCAGCAGACGGTCAATCCAAACTCACTTGTTTCAGTGCCTGGTAACCAGAAGTAAGTGGAAGCTCAACATGTATCGCACTAGAATAATCAATTATCATCCATTCTCCATTCTTTATTGATTGATTCTTGACAAATAAGTCACTTAATTACTCTTTATACTTATATATATATTTTTTTAACTGTTTATTTTCATTTTTACAAATCAAGACATATCCTAACATAGGACTTTTCCTTTCAAATGACAAATAATAATATGGTGAAACAGAATATGAAATAAAGTAAAACAGTTACAAGTTTAAAATAAGGAAATAATATAAAATTAATAATAGTAAAGTAAATACAAATAAATAAAAGCATTTTACTCGAGGACTGACATCTTCAGCAGAGCAGGATCACTTACACAGCGACATTTTCCATAATGTCTTCTTTTGAAACTCAATTAAGTTAAAACAACCCTTTTCAACTAGCTAGGCATCCTTTTGATAAAGGAGTCCATTCTCATTTGTAGACTTGCGGTCATCTTGTCCTCTTTATACTTATTTACAAAGGGTACCCCCGAGTGCACCCTTCCCAGAGTGCCTGAATCTGGATGACTCCATTGTGGAAATAGAGGTCAGTTCTTCTCTTCAGGATATTACTTTTGGCAATTTATCCAAGGAGGAAATGGTTGAGTATTCAGGTCTGCCTTTGTTTTGTTTTGTTCTGTCTGTCAGCTGTGTGCCAAGCTGCAGGACTGGAGGAGGATGGGGAATGTTTTCCGCTCCATTTGTCAGGTGTCCAGACATCCCTACCAGTTGGGGCGAATCAGCGGATGCATCGCCACCGCGCTGCTCTCTGAGAGCAAAGACAAGCATTCGCTGCCCTTTGCTACCTTTGCTGAGTCGGGTAAAAACTTTTACTTTGAATGCATTTTTTTCCCAACATGCTTCTGTATAGTAATCCTGATTATGTGATTTTTAGTGTGTAAGGGGGGAGATGACCTGGTCGGGAATTTTTTGGGCAGAATTGGGGTCTCGCTCATGTTGAGATACCACAAAACGCAACAATGGTCAAAGGTAAATAAACAGTTTGTTTCCCCCTGCTATCTCCTATGTGTGCGTCTTTAAATCAGTCTTCATGTTACCGGGAATGTCTTTACTTATGTAGCTAGCTGTGACCTAAATATAGTGCTGCAGTAATAAGTCCTAAAACCCCGAAAATACTTAGCATCCCACCCCTTTCGGTTCCCTCGTCTCAAAATCTTTTTTTTTTTTTTATGTGTTTGTGGCTGGAAGCCTGAAATAAGGTCTGTGATCAACACAAGCTGAACAGATTTACACGTTCAGTAAATACTCCACTCGTCAATGTCCGAAGCTTCTAGTGTCATAAAAACGGCTGATCGTAGTGAATAAAACTACTAAACGTCATCACGCTGACACAAGTCCATCTCTGGCTTGCATATACAGTACGCTTCAAAAATCTCAAAGTGGTGTTAATAAGTGGTCCGGGCCTTGGCCTACCAAAATACACCATCACTGCACCGCTCGATAAACTACACCAAAACAAACATTTGAATAAATTAAATCAGCTTTTTATTGTTATCATACTAGTACAATCTTTATGGTTTGATATTAAAGTAATACTGCCGATTGACAAAAACAGGATTACCTTTATAATCACACAACATAGTATTGTTGTTATTTTTGTATAATTCAAGATGCAGCATTGTCTGTAAATGCCATTTGGTATCGCCATGTCTGTGTGGTTTCATGTAGGGTCGGAGGGCGGTGGATGTGCTGTCCTCTTCCAAAGTGGACTACTCCAAACTGAAGGGGTTGTTCGGGAACGAGAATGGAGCCTCGCGCTGCTCCCTGGTTACCGTGGCGGCTGAGCTGCTCCTCCTGAGTGGCAGCGTGGAGGGAGCGCTGAACACACTGCGAGGTAACTGACCCCAGAGTTAATAGGTTTTCTATGATTGCTCCAGCTCCCCCCATAATGCATCAAAATGTAACCGTTGTTTCTACTCAACAGCAGTCAGTGTCATGCACCAGGTTTTTTGAAGATGGATTCTGTTCTATGCAAAAATAAAAACCTTTTTCAACATTATTTTGAATTTGAGTTCAAGGTCCAAGGCTTTTATTAGTCATACGTACATAGCTACAGTGTAGTTATGACGATGAACATTTTAGGTCACAGGCTCCTCCAACAGTGCAACACAATAAAAACCGAAAAGATAGTGCAAGTAAATACAAAAAGAAAAATAGTGCAATAAGAGTCTATATAGAAGTGATTAGAATATGATATATTGGATAAATAATTTGTAAGTTGCAGCCAGATGAATGTTATTTCAAAAGTTCAGGTATTTAATTAGTTGGATGTAGCTTAGCTGGAGGTCGCACAGAGACACCTCTCCAAAGGGCCGGTTCTGCGTAGTTTGTGTGCTGAAGATGAGAGGTCTAGCCGTCCAGTGTGCCGGTGTTGCTGCTTGTGTCCTGGTAAACAAAAGGGAGACTTAAGTTTCTGCGTCTTCTTTAATTAATTTTTCTGATTTAAGAATTAAAGATTCCGATTTTCGTGTGTTTTATTGTTATATGTCAATCCCAATTTCACATCTCGACATCATACGCGTAGAAAAGAACCGCATTAC